GTTTCAAGCTCCCAAGAAATAATGCTGATGGATGATCAGGCAAAAGCAGGGGATTCCTTACTGTAGAAATATTTAGCTTCCCCTGTACTGAAAACCAGTAATTTTAAAACAACTATTCCTGATGACTTTTTGATAGAAATTTAGTATGTTGAGTATAACATTTTTCTTGGGAAACACAAATACTGCTTCCAGGGTCATAGTGTGATCATGAATTATAGTCTGAAGTGGCCATGAAGATTACACAGTATCTTGATAATTCTGTAATTTTTGAAATCCAAAACAAAACCCTGAATGCATGAGAGTATTTGAAAAATTCCATGACCTTCTGCTTGCATTGCTTATGAAAATGTGTTGGTGTTATCCATTATCTCCACAGTAGTGAGCCTGATTTTCATTTTAAAGCAGTGGTTCCCAACCTGTGGTCCAGTGGTCCACAAGAACAAAAATATGGTCCACTGCCTCACAATTACTACACTGTTGCCTCGAAACCACATGACAAGAGCGACTAGTCTCACAAAACTCTCATATAGTGCCAAGGCAACAGGGATTTTAGGAGGGGAGAGGCTGACTACCCATAAAAGATTACTACCACATCAACTCTAGGTTATTAAATATGGTTTTCTGTGGGCGAGCAGATGGCAACTCCTAGACGGCCTATGTTCTGTATCAGAAACTAGAACTGATGTGGTCTATCCAATGCAGTTTTCTGAATCAGCACCCGAAATAACCAAACTGAACTTAACGTTGACCAAAAACTGTTTCATAATCCTTTTGGTACTAATGTTGGGGAGTGGTCCCTGGTCAAAAAAAAAGTTGGGAATCACTGTTTTAAGGCAAATATCCCATTAAGTTGTGCATTAAGGCATTGAAGCAGTTGTGATAATTTGAATAAAATAACTGGCTGGTTAAATTCAAAGCTTCCTTTATCTGTGGATTGCTGAACCTTGGCTAGGGAAATATTTATTTGTAAACAAGATAACATTTCAGGTGCTATCCGTATAAATGTGGCTTAGGGTGAACCTGCCATCCGCATCATTTTAACATTGAACTGTCATGCTCTTCTGATAGTAACTGGTTGTCTGTGTGCATGTGTTGTTTATATGTGAACATATGTATCTTTGGTTTTTAGAATGGCCTTAATATTTTCACAAACTGAATGTTTTAACTACAATCTTAAACCATTCAGTCGTATTTCATGTGTTCGTCCAAAAAAGTCAAGAGGATAAAGAAAAGAGGGATATCTTCAGATTGAATAATACTGCTTTTGCATGCAGAACAGAAAGTGAGTACATGGGATATACATCATGTAATTGTGTGTATCTTTTGGCTATCAGATCCACATGGTCTTTGTGAGGTTTTATAATACACCTTTCATTTTCTTCTTTCTGGCCTGCTAGGGATATGGAAGCTACCAAGTCCCTAGTTGATAGGCTGGAAATGATAATCTATACAAGACTGATACTCCTAGATGTTCTTATGTTGTATAACATAATGAAATGTGCCATAAGGCATCTTACAAGTGGGTTACAAACAAACAGATCGTACTTTCTTTACTGCTAGTGAAGCCTAAACATTTGCATTGTTGGTGCTACCCCCACACCTCTCTTTTGAAGTACAGTATTCTGAAGTCAACTTAAATGGCTTCCCCAGGATGATAGGTGCTGGGAAATGCAATTACTTCGAAGAGATTTGGCAGGTTTGTCTGATACTAGATTATTGTGGGAGGAGAGAATATGAATGTGGTCCCATATTGCACTTTGCCTTCTAATCTTTGTAAGAATGCATTCTAGACTTAAGTTGGGTGGCAAGGTAGACTGTTGCAACCTCACTTCTTCCACAAAGGGCTCAACTTTGCCCAAACGCTGTGAAAATCAGTAACAGATGGAACACTACAGACTTTTCTCTTTGAAATCTCTGCAAAAAAAGTCAATGACATATTATCCTGAGAGAAAAATGAACAATTTCTTGAACTTTGACAGCCATTCTGTCGTAGGTATAGAAGGAGCACAGCTATGAAAATTATTTGAGGATTCTGTTTTTTAAAAACTTACCAAAAACAGAAGCTTTCATTAGCGGAAAAACACTGTTTGTTTGTTAAGGCTTCTTATTTTAAAAAAGTAATTTTTATAACTGTCCATCTGTCTTACTGTAATTCTTTGGATTTACAATTTCAGTATGAAGTATTAGTCAGACAATCATCCTTGCTTTAACCAAAAAGGAAAAATAACCCATCCAATTAACCCAAAGGTATATGTTAATTTGAATCTGATAAAGCCTGTGTATTCCATTTTTGGTTATGATAAAGAGTTAATCCCTGTGATCAAACAAAATCTTTATAATTTGTTTTTTTCTAGATGTATATCAGTTAAGCCTTTTTGCATATTTTTTTTATTTCAAAAATAACCAATAATGAATTTTATAATTATCTGCAACTTTACAGATTTCAAAGTAATCTCCTGAAATATTCAGTTTCAGAATTCAAGAATATATTTGTCAAATGTGTGCTTAAAACGTGGAGCTAATTTTATCTTCTCACATCCTAATGTAAATATTTGTACAGAATATTATTTTGTATATTTTTGTGAATTGTAGATCCCCAAAGATTAAAAGGATTTAATAAAAAATGTTACTGCTTAATATTTCACACTTTTTATGGAGTCAAAAAGAATACTAATTTGGGCCTATTAATTTATAGGATAGCTGCTTACAATCCACAGGAGTCTCCAATCAAATGTTTCAAGAAACACAGGTAATTAGATGAAGAAATGTATAGAATGAGCCAGTCCACATCTTTATTCTTGAAAATGGAAAATCAGACTAAGTGTACTGACAAAAGCGGGAATCCTTTTAGCAGCATCAAACAGGCATATATAAGAACAAGCTTATGTTCCCTATGTCTCTGATTTATGTGAAGGGTGGGATTATTATTATTATTGTTGTTATTTAAAACTTTTATATCTATATCTTCAGCTTGTAAATTGGCTGGGATTTCTGGGAGTTGTAGGCCAAAACACCCATGGACCCACAAGGTTGAGAACCACTGTTATAGATAGTCGCTGGCTTCATTTGTTTTAAAAAGCACAGCACATTTCAGCAACCATCAGAATGAACCTTCCTCTGGGGCTACCCCAAAAATACCAATACAATTCCACTTAATATATTAACAAGAACAATGCAAAATTGGTTATATTTTCTAAAAACATAGGTTATGTTATTCTATATAACATAGTGTATACTTTTACACTGAAAATTTTAGCATTGTAAAATACACTCTTCCAAAAGAACAACCTGAGCTTTTTAAAATAAATATAACTACTATCAATTCAAGGAGGTTTGTTTGCTGACTTGCTTTGACTTCTGTGCAATACAACCAACTGCGAATTTTGTGAAGAAGAAGCCCTAAATCACAAATAGTATTTGAAAACTTCCGGGATTTTTGCAGTGGGAAGAAAATAGCTGAAATTACTACCTTCAAGAAGAAACGTAATGAACAATTACAATCCACTCTGGTGGATCAGTGAATGGTCTGCTACCGTGTACTTTCATATGGAGAACCACTACACTACACTGAACCATCTACTTTCCCTGTATTGTAGTTGAGAGACATTGGCTACAATCCTTTAAACTTGTAGGGCAGCATGTGAAATTCACTCCAAGGTGAGAAAGGCCTGTGTGGAAGGAATCCTGGCTACTAATATCTTAAACACAGAAATAATTCTGCCCAGCCTCATCTGAGAAGCAGTATTCTTTCTCTTTCCACTCTGTTCCTTATCTATTACAGCCCTCAAAGACATACAACCGGCCTTCCATCCTGGCAAGAACCAGGCCCATCCACAAGCTCTGAATCCATAAATTCAACCAACTGGGTCGGGAAGAAACTTTTTTAACAATACATTATTCCAAAAATGCTAAAAAGGCATGTAAGAAGATGGTGGCAGATGTTTTTAGCACCCCCCTGCAAGGGAGTAGAAATCACAAAGGCAAAGTGGGGGTAGGGGGAAGAGAGAAGGATTGGGTTGTGACCACAGCATAAGAAAGTGATTCCAAGCCAACCTGACCCTAACATTCGCTTCCTCTCCCTCTCTTGTTCTCTGTCTCATGGAAGATTAATTCAGAGAAAACAGGTGCTCCAGTTCTGTCAAAAAGACGGAACAGGGAATCTGGATGCATCCAGTGCCAAATTGGGCTGTTCAACCATTCAAATGCCTTGTTTGCAGATTCTCCTACAGATGGAAAATGCCTGTTTTGATTGATAAAGACCTGCATGAGCTGAGTCCAGGGTAATCTGAAGGGTTATATTCTCTGACATCTTTCTCAGTCTTACCACTTTCAGGTATACATTTGGTACAGACAGAAACAGGACAGGTCATCTGAGTGGTCATTCTGGGATTATAGAACTCCCTCTTCCAAGGGTGGTCGAATTTTCCCCAATCTTGCTGTCCTTCCACTGGCAGGCAAGACCTTTCTATTTAGGTGGGCTTTCAGCAATGGAGCACCTCCTGTATTCAGAGATTTTTAAAAATGAATGTGCTGGAGTTTTAATATTTTATTGATTAGTTATATCAGTATCGTTAGGTGGTTTTAACTAGTGTTTTCAAACATATTTTAACTAATAAGTCTAATCAGAGTTCTTTTTATTTTGCATCCCAATTTTGGTTCAGATGAAGAATGCCATAGAATCATGTGGGCGGGCCTACAGAAGTGTTCTCTCTAGGTCTCCAGACTGATTTAATGGTCAATGGAACCTCACCACAGAATCACACTGCAGATCTAGAGAGAACAGTCCTCTAGGAACAACTAGGTCCTCCAGTGCTATTCTATGGTATTCAAAGCTCTTTGTGCATAACAAACCATGTTTGATGAGTTGGTGCAACAAGTGACCCTATTACACAACTCTGTAGAACAAAGGAACATTTCTAATCCAAAATGACGAGCTACAGTGGACTTTGTGAAGGTGTGCGCAAAGGAACAATACAGAAACCCCAAACAGACAAGATCAATCCTTTCTTGGACCTTTTTATTTAAGGTTAAAGCAAATCTTTTCCTTACAGATATTTTTAACAGTACAAAATATGAAAAAAATTATTAAATATACAAGTTTTGAAAAGTACGTATTTCAAGTATCCAATCAACTTCATTTAAGAAACAATTTATATCCAAGGCCTGGCATATGTGACAACCTTTACAGCATCTTGTTCCATCAGTCAGGATTCTTCCATCATAGTACAATGGTGAATTTAACTAATGGTTGTGTACATTATTCGCTGGAAAAAATGAATAGAGAAAATTACCAGTAGTTGTCTCCCTATGAATGTGGTTTATAATCTGGCTACAAAAATCACTTCAGAATTAAGTAGAGAAAAACCATGAAAAATGAAACAAAGAACACTTCTGGCATTTCTCTGACAAATAGCCAAATTCCTGTTTCTACAAATTCCTGTTTAATATGCCAGAATTGAAAAAAGAGTAATCATTACCTAGTCTGGGTTCGAGTCCATTTCAAGGCATGACGTGGCGGTACAGAAACGGAAGGGTGGTAAAATGTGCAGTCGACTCTGGTGCAATGGGTGTTGAACCTACAATGCTAAGATGATAAAATAAAGGTGTTAGATCTATTTTCGAAGAGTTCAATGCAATCTATGGGCTACCTACTTCTTTTTATGGGATATTTCAAAAATACATCTAAACAGAGTTTAGAAATTTGCCTCAGCTTCTTTGGTTGTTACACTCAAGTACAGTCAATTAAAAATGCATGTATCATTTGACTGAGTCAAAGATCTTTGTATTCAAGATAATATGAAAGATTTTCTACAATCCCACATAGTCCATTTACACATGTAAATCAGATGATGCTGCAGATTTGATGGAGTAAATAAGAACACAGCATTGTTGGAAAACTGCTGCCCTAGAAGCTATTGGACTGAAATGTTCAGCAGTCACAGCCAGCACTGCTAATGGCATGGGATCTTTGGAGTTGCAGTCCAACGATATCCAGAGGGGCACATGATTCTCACCCTTGGCATTGAGGTCTGAGATCCCAGGATGGTTAGCTTAGACTGCAAGTGCCAAAGTGCTGACCTTAAAAAGTATAGGCACCACAAACAAGCCTCTGACTTGAAGTATAAACAGCAGAGTACTGAAACACAGCACAAAATGGCAGAAATAAAAATACTGTACTTACTTTGGGGTGGAAGAAAGGACACTCCATTTTCTTGCAAGAAGGGAAAAATCGGCAAAGTTGGCTGGTTGAAGATGCTGGTGGAATTGGTGCTGGTACTGTGAAAGCAATTAATAAAAAGGAGGAAAGTGAGTCATCCGCACCCAGCAGAAAGGCGAATTTTTGATTAAATAATTGCATGTATTGCAAAGAAGCATATATGTAGATTTTATTCTTGCAAAATGGTTTTTTAAAGAAACATTTGACTGGAGCATTTGAAAACATATGAAGCAGTACTGTTGCTGAGCCTGTGAAGGTCTGGAACAAGTCAGTGTCGGTGGGAAGGTAATGAGGAAGCCCTAATACACTTCTGCTAATTTCACATCTTTAAGAAAGGCTGCCTACAAATAAATGTCATAAAGTTACATAAAGGCCACTATTTAAAACAGTGGCTAATTTCTACACACAGCTGTTTCTCCTCCTTGGTTTAATTCCAGCATAAGTGAAATGGGAAAGAATTCAGAAGACTGATATAAAAGAAGTAGGTGAAGGTTAGGATAACAATAGATGAAGTTTCCATCAAAGCTGGAACAGTAAGAAATCCTCACCTGGTTTAGGGGGCGGCAGTGGGGTCCGCCTGCTGGCGTGAGTGTAAGGGCAGTCTGGCTTGGTGCACTTGGCATCGTATTTACAGTTGGGATGGATGAACAAACACTTATCTGCAAATTTGCAATTGGGAAAGACCCTGAAATGCAGAGATTTCTTGTTAGAATGTACACACCTTCAAAATAATGCCTATGCTATCCTGGTGCTGAATACAATCATACCCGTTTGGGTTCTCGGGTGATGGATTGATTTGGAGAATGACATGAAATGGTGTCTTGTTTTAATGTATTTATAACTGTTTTAATGTAGGTTAAATGTATTTTATGTTGTGTATTGTTTGGCACTGAATGGTGCCTGCTGGTAGCCATCCTGAGTCCCTCTTCGGAGGAAAGAAGGACGGGATAGAAATGCTCTTAATACATAATAATTCTGAAGGAAGACAAGATCCAAGTCCCAATTCTGGTAGAACACTTTCCATGTTAAGATAGTGAATGGACATACAAAATTCAGAGTGGCAAGAGGCATATATGAAAAAGCAGCAGTTATGTCAAAATCAATGTTCTGCTTGTCAAACCTAACGGGGTCTCTTTTTTCCTGCTGAAGCCCCCTATTCTCCAAAATGTGTATAAAAGAAGGCCAAATGGGTCTCAAGGTCTTTCCTATGCCACCATAATCTTTACTAGTGCTGTTATTTTCTTAGCAGAGGGTTTCAGGGAAGGGTGAAAATGGCTGTAAAGCTTCCTTATTCTCTTAAAGCTAATATTTGCCCTGCTGCTGCTCAGGTCAAAGAGAGGTCTTTCTCCCACCACTGAACTGAGCATCAGAGCAAAAAGAGAAGAAGCCTACAGACTACCTACGGCTTTCCTTCATTTGCAGAGACTTGCAGCTACTCTCATGTACACCCAATCCTAATTTCTCTTTGAAGCTCTTCTTAAGAACCAGGAGGACAAATGAAGTCAAAGTGTCTCAAGGAGCTTTGCTCCACTCACTTGCAAGGCAGCGTGGGATGATGGAAGGCACATTCATCTCCATTTTTGCAGGCAGGCCAGTACTTGCAGCGCTCTGTTTTGTGAAGGACACTCAACGCCTCCATCTCAACTATAGAAAGAAACCACAAGGCAATGGTTGGCCACCATAATGACTTCAGTATAGTACACTGTAATGGTTGCTTCCACACACTGAAGCCACTTCTCTTACAATGCTCTTATTTCACTTCCAAATCGGCATTACAAAAACCTTCCTCCAAAGACATTTTCAAACAAAAAAATTAAATAAAAACTAAAAATGACTCTTTCCTTGCCTCCCTCTTCATTCATATATATATATATATATATATATATATATATATATATATATATATATATATAAAATCCCAGTTTATCTCTCCATACGGAGACTCAAAGCAGCTCACAAGTAAAAACATTATAATACAACTTAAAATTAATATATTAGTATTGTTATTATATATTATTAGATTGTATTATTATTATTATTAGTGTTCTATTGTATTACTATTGGTGTTCAGGGAAGGGTACATAGAGGGAGATACGATCACGAAGATAGGAAGGGATTCCTACTTTATGATTTGGGTGAGTGGCTAAGAGAAAGTAATGCAGATAAAGGTACTGCAACCAAATTAAAATAGCAATTTGTGCAACTGAGGATCAGACAGTTACCATTAGTGGTCTCCAGCTGTCGGGATATAATGTGCATCTGTTGTGCGCGAAGGCTCCTTAAGCCCTTGCTGGCTGTGGATTTGGTGGGAAGAGGTCTGACTCCTTCCATGGGACTGGGCTCCTCCTCCTCTTGTTCCGACAAATACCCGGGAGGGCTGGGGACCCCGTCCAAGGTAACAATGAACTTGGGGCTGGCAGGCTTCTCTGGCTGGCCAAGCTGCTCCCTGCAAGATAAGGGCAAACAGAAGCAGCATCAATGTCACTGAATCAATGAGCAGAACAAAGGGGTGGAAACTGAAAGTTGATAGTCAAATGCTGTCATTTACAAAAGATAAAAATGTGTGTGGAAGATGTATAAAGCAATTCAAAAACCTGAATCCCTTCTCAGATTTTTAATGACTGAGATGTAACTTTTTTTTCTGAATTCAAACGGAAGAGACAATGAACTGAGTTAAAATAGAAATGATATTTCTTAATGATTCATTTCTAGAATACGTTGCTGCTCCTGCATGAAATATTTTTCTGGGAACACCTCCTCACCAGCTAGCTCACCTCCTCCGAGGGAAAAAAAATCTATCTCTAGACTTGCATTGGGAATGCCTGAAATATATATCTGCAACTAGCACAGATATGGGGCATGGATCATCCACTTAACCAAAGTATGTGTATGGATATTTTGGGTTCAGAGGAGACTTTAAATTTCATTAGAATAAAATACAGAATACAGAAGCCATTTCTGATCACATTAAAGAGGAGCAAATTAATGCATCACTTTATTCATTCTGGTGGGCAACTTTCTACATACGTTTTGCATAGAGTATGTTTCTATGCAAAACAATAAAGAGATAAACATGTGGCATCAGAAATGGCAGTATTCAAGGAAAAGGGGAAACACTTCAGCTGCTCAGGTCACTACTGTCAGAAATATTAAAAATGAACAAGGTGTTTTTAATTACAAAAATGTGAGTCAAGCACTGAAAGAGTTAGTGGGTCAAAGCCTATTAGAGTTAATGGGTCAAGGCTAGTGTCGTCCTGAGGAGTATGAGGTAAACCTCTGCATGAGAGAAGCCTCGAGTGAGAAAGCTCCAGTGCGACGGCTGCTGGGTGTAAAGCTACTGTGTATTTGTTTATTTGTGTTACCGAAACCTAGTTCTTGTAAAGCATATTATTTTACTACAAAGAAAACCCTCATATGGAAGAGATAACATTGGTCTGTGTGTTTTTGTTCTTTGTATCACTGTGGGCTACTGGTGCTGGGTCACGCTGCTACTAATAAGTTACTCTACTGTACATTTATAAGGAGGGTCTTTTGTTAATAAGCCCACTCGCCCAACATATACTACTGACCTTGTATCCACAGTGGTGCAAAGACATTTCAAAGGAAAAAACAGCTAGGTTATAGTTCATCAAAAAGTTCCAACCTCCAGAGTTTTGAACCAGGTGTAAAGCTTCTTACCACACTAGAGATTTATCCTACCTAGAAGTGCTTTTAGTAACAGTATAAATGATCAGCACTTATAATGTAATTGCCATTATCAATACTTGCTGTATTTTACTTCTTTCTGACCTTAGTTCCCAATCCCACCAAAACAAAATAAAAACCAGTTGTAAACTTTCTACGTATCTGAAATTCTAGTAAACACTTCATGCCTCTGATAAAATGGACAGCAATCCACAAAAGATAGTGCCATAATAAATGTGTTAGTTCTTAGGGTGATACAGGACACTTTGTGATCCTTTTAGGGGCAACTAAGCAAGTGAATCCCTACTTGTCAAACCATTTGTTGTAGTTCAAGGAACGACATTATACCGTGTCTGTATCAGCCGTCCTGAAAGAGCCTGCAAGGCGTCTGCGGCCCTGTTTGCCACTTCCAGGTTCTGAGACGTCATGACCTCCTCAGACAGCTTTGGTTTTTTCAGGATAAATGATCTGGTATCTGTGTGGACCATGGATTCCAAGTCATAATAATCTAAATCACAGAAAACAGCAGGAGTGTCAAAATCACTTTGGTAATAATAATAATAATAATAATAATAATAATAATAATAATAATAATAACAACACCACCACCACCACTTGGGAAGTGTCCGACGTGTGATCCAATACAACAGCCAGCAGAGTAATCTTGTCTACTGTGGACTCATCTTGTTGTATTTCAAATAATAATAATAATAATAATAATAATAATAATAACAACAACAACAACAACAATAACAACAACAACAACAATTACTACTACTACTACTACTTTATTTTTTTTACCCCGCCTCCATCTCCCCGGAGGGATTCGGGGTGGCTTACAAAGGGACAAGCCAAGAGAGCACAGAGTTAAAACATAATGCAATAAAATAAAAACGAAGCAAAACCAAATCAAAAACATATCACAATAAAACATAACATCATGAAAACAGTACCGTGGGAGCAATAAAAGTGCTGAGTTCAGAGGGCTCTGAGTTTGTGCAAAATTTCTAGATAGAGCTAAGGGAAAGTGCAAAATTAAGTGGCAGGGATGGGAGAGTAATGTCCTTGGGCTTTATAATGTCAGGATTGTAGAGCAGAAGGCCATGCTAGAATGCCAGAACTTAGGTATTTGGAACTGCCTAATCAAAGGCACAATGGAACATCCATGTTTTTAGGTTCTTTGATGTCACTAAATAGTAACAAGGATAAGGCTACACAATGAGGATAAAAGCAGCCACGGAGCCCTTTTCCAAGTGACCATCTAAGCAACAAACTTTCCTTAGCAGCAAGGATAACGGTCGTAGAATTAGCTGCTAACAGAAAGAGGACATTGTTTTGGAAAGAAGGAAAAAGCAGAACAAGGTCTAGGTGAAGAATCCTGCAACATCTCTTTGCATAAGCACAGTAAAAGGTGCCTTTGGCTCCAACTAAAGGTTGTGGCTTAAGCCAGGATGGCTCCAGCAACACCACCAGAACGAATGTCTCTCACATATCCTAAGAGGGATTTCTTCTGTGCCAGTTCCCTAATGAATTATGACAGTGCAAGAGCCTATTCATTTGATCCAATTCATTTAAATCAGTGGTTTTCAACTTGTGGGTCCCCAGATGTTTTGGTCTTCAACTCCCAGAAATCCTTACAGCTGGTAAATTGGTTGGGATTTCTGGGAGTTGTAGGCCAAAACATCTAGGGACCCACAGATTGAGAACCACTGATTTAAACGAAACTTGCTCAGGAGAACTGCCTAACTGGGTTGCAATATATGTTATTTCAGAAATCATTTCAAGACTTCTCATTAGCAAAATAAAGAAGTAATTTTGATTTCATTAAAACATGGACATACAAAGAAATTTTTAGAAAGCTAACCTTGGGCCTTCCCTAAGGCCGCTTCAAAGCCTGGTTCAATCTGGAGACGGGAAAAGAGCTGCCTTTGCTGGTTTCCTAAAAGAAATATGAATAATAAATGTTACTCCTTGATCAGTTTGAATAGGACAAATACTGAAGGATCTTCCTTCAGTGCTTTCCTTAACAAGGTCTTCTGTTTCTGAAAAGCAGCTCTCTCAATGGGAGAAATGTAATGTTGACTAGATTTCTGCCTCTTTCTCGATAGGCCAGAATTCTATCTAGTAGGAAACTAGAAGTGAAGTTCGGTCTAGTGCCTCACTTTTTTATTAGTTGCTTTTATTTCACAGAATGAAGCTGAGACCCTGATCCCCCCAGAACCAGGGCCTCACGCTTTCAAAAACAGTCCTCCAAAGATTTTAGTTGAAACCAGGATTACATTCGATTCCATTTTTGTCCACTCAAATAGCCAATCAGGAGAAGGGCAAATTGTTGTCCCCACCCATTACAATAGCAAGATTAGTTCACAGGGCTTTACAAAAAGGGTGAGAAATTTTCATGCAAGATAAATCAAATCAACAGCCTCTAAGATTGTTAACTAGAGCTACCAACTTCAGAGGCTGTATGCAAGCAGATGTGTGTTTCCAAGTCATATTCATGGGCTACTTAGAATCATAAGAGTTGGAAAAGACCTCGTGGGCCATCCGGTCCAACCCCGTCAAGATGCAGGAAAATCGCATTCAAAGCACCCCAACAGATGGCCATGCAGTCTCTGTTTAAAGGCCTCCAAAGAAGAAGCCTCCACCACACTCCAGGGAAGAGAATTCCACTGCTGAACAGATCTCACAGTCAGGAAGTTCTTCCTAATGCTCAGATGGAATCTCCTTTCCTGTAGTTTGAAGCCACTGTTCCGCATCCTAGTCTCCAGGGCAGCAGAAAACAAGCTTGCTCCCTCCTCCCTATGACTTCCCCTCACATATTTCTACATGGCTATCTCAACCTTCTCTTCTGCAGGCTAATCATGCCCAGTTCTTGGAAGGCTCTTGACAGGTTGCAAGAATGCAGGACTAGATGGAAGATCCAAGGGTGCTTTTCTTGGATTATATAACAACAACAACAACAACATTAATAATAATATGCATGTACATGTGAGATATTGCAATAAAAAGCAGGCATTATTTCTCCTTATGAGAAAAAGAATACACAATATTCAGAACTAATATGATCAAGGCACCTTATCAAGAAAACAGATTACACATCAAGACAAAGCCCTGCTACAAAATCCCACATTCCTATCAAACAGAAGTCTAACCAATGAGGCACCATTTTTTAGGTTTACTCTTTTTCTAGGAGCAAAGCCTTATACTCAGTATTACCTGGAATTCTCTCCAATGCTTGTTCTCTTGGTTCTTCGACTGGCATCTGTGCAGTCACTCTCGACACACGACTCTGGCCATGAATGGCTTCGAGGAAGGCTTCCTCTTGAGAGCTCCGGGTTCTGGGAGCCACAGGAACGGTCTGCTTCGGTGGGACTTTTTTTATCAGGCAAAACAAACAATGAAATGTGTTATGTCAGGAATAACAGAGCATTTTGTGAGAAATGTAATTGAAGTGTTCTAAAATCATGCTGGAAATGACCAAAACAGCACTAGTTCTTCATCTCAGAATACCAGAGTTTGAACTGATTAATTCAAAGGTTACAGATACATCAACACGCTCTTAGGTACATTTTAGCACTGCTTAAGCTAAGAGTTTGCTAGGATTGATTTCTGAGGAAAATATGCTCAAGAGCAAACAGTTACAATAGGAGAACGTTCTACCAAAGTGTCTAAGAAATTGTAGTTTGCTAACAGTGTTGAAGATTCTGTTTTAGATATTCTCAGTCCTTTCACAGAACTAATTTTCAGAAATCCTTGGATAAACGAAATGATAGTAAATCAGCTCCGATACACACAACAAAGTGAACGACAGGCATGTTCTAAGAGGGAACTTTTTTGTAATATATGAACTTCTGTTTTTTTACAATATAGTTTGCTGACAACTGGACCCTAATCTTATACTTGTGATGATATCTATCTATGTATAATAAAAGTGAATGTTTGTATGCGCACAGCAGTGTATTTGGGCAACAATTTTTCTGGCTGGGGCTCCAACTTTCACAGACCACTGCAAACCCCACGAATGACAGACCTGGACAAATCTTGGCACACAGATTCACCATGACTCACTTTACAGCCTGGTGAGCTTTTGGGGAGGATGAAGCATTGACAATAGGATTTGCAGGACCTTCATCTGCTTTCTCAGACCACTGCGGCCCCCACCAATGAGATACCTGGACCATACTTGGAACACAGACCCCATGTGATATACCGTATGTCCTGGTGAGGTTTGGGGGAGGATGAACCATGGACGATGGGATCTGCAGTACCTTCAACCACCTCCAGAGACCACTGTGACCCCCCACTAATGATGGACCTGGACCAAATTTGGGGCACAGACCTGACAGAGCCTACTTTGAATATTGGCAGAGTTTGGGAAGACTGACCCACAATTTTGAGAATTGTAGTTCACCCAAATTCTTATGCATTTTCTAATGGAAGCATTCATAAAAATCAAAAGCAAAGCCTGACTTATTTTTCTAATAAATAGCATTACAAGTTCCTAACAGATATCACCAAACATTAAAAAATTCCTTTTTCAATAAGCCAGGCATTGCTGGGTACCCAAGCTAGTTTTCGATCAAATTTAAACATGGGAGTGGTTTCCTAAAGTGTCGGACAAACAAATGACTTTCCAGCCATGCAGTCAATGCAACTAAGTTTTACAACAAAAATTTTAAAAATGTAACTTATTTCTTCAGTGATAAAAGTGTTCTATATTAAATCTTTAATATATGCAAAATATGTACAGAGGCCATTCACAAAAGCAGTAACTGATAACAAAGCAACCATCTTAACATTTCTAAGTTAGTTATTATGCACTGAGGGATATAAAACCAGTATCATGATTAAAGCCAAAGGTGCTTGAACTGAACTTGTTCAAAGCTATGATTCCATATTTTGTCTCTCACCAATCTTAATAATCATGCAACTAATTTACCTGTAGAATAATTCGTTGTCTTTGTAACTGACTCCTGAGCTTCAGATATAGCTTTCAATATTAAGTTCTTATTGGCCTGCTTAGAAGGTGGCAGTGAAGGCCTGGAGTGATTTAAACACACACATAAAGTAAAAGAAAGAAAACCAGTACTGTAGCTATTTCTCAATTCATACAAATGAATGATATATTGTGATGTTTCATTTTCAAAAGTCTGGCTGGAAACCATGAAAGTGTACATTCAAGTGTCAGCTACTACCATCCTCACCCCATTCTCTACTCTATAGATCACCCATTTATCACTTTCTGTAGTGCCCAAACAGGTTTAAAGGAAGCCTGAAAAACTGCCCCAACCCATGTATATTCCCATTATATTTCCAGCATATTAAAAAAAAGTCTTATAGTGGCAGAAAGTGATATTGATACATTCTAAAGGCCTCTCGGACATACATGTGTGTTTCAAAATAAAATATTAATTTTTTACATTTAGTTTTTAAAAAAATATTTGGCTATATTTACGTATTTGATTGAAATCTCATACTTTTCCAAGCACTCCCAAGAAAAACACTGAAAGAAACTAAGTGAATTCACAGTGACATTATTAAGAACCAAGAAATCATACATAAATGTGATTATCAGGAGTCTCCATATATACAAAAACAGTTTCCAATAAAAACAGTGAAACTAAAAGCAAGGATATTTGTATGAACCTTGTGTATCTGTGCATTATACCTTTCATCTTGCTTTACTTTTTTTGCATGAGCGAATGTGGAATGTAGAATTTATTTATTTATTTACTATATTTATATCCCGCCTTTCTCGAGCCCGAGGGGGACTCAAGGTGGCTTACAGCATAGTTATGTTTGGCATATGCCAAATGTGTTTTGCCACATTCTTTCTTCCTCAGTTTTCAAAGAAGCAGCTATGTTAGTCTCTTGCAGCATTAAAATAGGAGGAAGGGAGGGAGAAGATGGGAAAAGGAATACGGCTAAACTAACTGATTTTTTTACTTTATGGCTGATTTTTACTTCAGCATGGGTTTTCATAGATACAATCCCACTTCTTCAGATGCAGTACAGATTGATAATAAAGTAATACAATCCAGTAGTATTGTGGGAACCCAAACATTTCTGATCAATTCCCTTAATGTGATAAGTTTGGCACCCAATTTTGACACACCTAAACTGAAGCACTCTTCCTAATTTGCCAGTCAGCAATAGGACAATTGCCTTTTGTGGAGCCAGAATATTTATTTATAATGCCCACTTTCCTTTGCATTTCACAAAAATGACATTAGGATTCAAAATAAAGAATTTTGAAAAGAAACTGTGGTACCGTCTCTCTGGTTTTGCAGGCACAGAAACACTGCTGGAGATGCCTCCCAGTCGTAATCCATAATCTTCCTCTTCTTCTTCCTCCTCCCCATCATTACTGAACCGTTTCACTTTGACTACTGAGCTAACAACCGGGAGCTTCCTCTTCCTCAGAGTTTCTTCCTGAAAGCAATGGACAATTTATTTGATACTGTTGAACCATATAGTTCAGGCCATAAACTTCTCAGACAATTTAACTATCGCTGACTTTTTCCATTTAGCCATGACTATATAAAAAAAAGTTAACTTCAAACATTCTGCCCAATCCCAAACAAAAATACACTCCCTACTCCAAATGTGCAGAACTTGTGGCACTCTAGATTTGCTTCTGATGACTGGCTATGCAGACAGCCTGATGGGAGTCAGAGCGCAACAATATCTCAAAAGCTCACTGTAACTAAAACACCAACTGAAATGATCACCTACTTTCCCTGTTTACTCCACCTTCCCTCTGTGGTTTCCCCCATCAAATTGTAGAGTACACTTCTCTGCACAGAAACTAGTACTTTTGTACTCTGCAAATCATCATACACATTGATGGCACTATAATACAAACAACAGCAGTTTATTTGGGAAAGATGGATGGTCTAAAAAAACTTGAACCCTTAAGTCCAACCAGTTGGACTAAGTCTGCACATAAGCTCCACAGGAACAACACAAAGATATCTAGTTCTCTGAAGCCTGAAAGCTAAGTAATGCCTTTGTAAAGATGTGTGAAAGGCCTTCTGCATTTTAACTTCTTGTTTAGAAGAAAAAGATGAAAGATCTGATTTGAAATAAATATTGACTTCTCCTACTTAAAAACAAGAGCAGCGGAAATTCTAATAATGAGTTTTCCTTCTGATTATAAGGTCTAGAAGCACCCAATATCACACAAATCTATGGATACGCTACTCAGAATCCACATATCCATTTCCTGTAATTTCTCTACTGTACAAATGAAAACCTTCACTGAGCATTTCACTGTCCTCCAATTTTACTACCAAGGTTTGTTTGATAATATACAGACCTGGATAGTTCCCAGTAGATCAATTAGTGCAGCTCTCCACCCTATACTTAGAGCAACACCAGATGATCACTGACTTTTTCCCCAAAGAGATGTTGACTCTGAACTTTTGTTGAACTCTCCCCTTTGCTGACTTGCTCTTAACTCAAAATATATCTTCTTTATTAGTGGTAAAATGAAACACTCAACCCTCAGAAAAAAAATAATTGGTTTACAAAATGTATCATGTTTGTACTACATCTTTTCTCCAAGGAATTCATGTCAGCATATCCGGTTTTACAAAATCATTTTGCAAAAAGAGGCACTATGTGAACAAACACTGTGCACTGAACTTCAGGCTGAGTGGAACTGGAACTTGAGTATCCATTGTTTGAAACTGGCCTCCTCAGTAACTTGAAAGCAAAAGAATTTAAATGGGACTTGGAGTGTGTGCAAGCAGAAGTATGGGTTGTGCGTATATAGATTGGAACTTAATGAACAAAACACAGACACAACAGGTAAACTTCCTGGATCACAGCCTGTCTGTATTTTGCACTTAAAAATTCAAATTTTCAAATGATTGGCCAGAATTATAAACAGCAGAGTACCATTTGTGTATATTTCCTTGTTCTAACTACAGTTGCACAATTCATACTTATTAGTGTGAACCCATTTCTATTGGGACATTAGAGAATATAGAGATGTGGTTTAAGACAGTCAATAAGCTTGCAGGCCAGAAAGTTGAATAGTTTGAAGAGATTCCAACTTATTGTAGAGTGAGGATTACATGCTTTCCCCAGGTTTTCAATTATATGTACAGTAGTATTGTTACAAGCCAAAGTTGACTGGGTAGAAAACAACATATATTGTTGTTTTCTATCAAATTAGAAAGATAGGAAGGTTTAGGGCTAGAAAACCTGGACGCTGAAGAAAATAACCAGATCTTTATAGTTAACATTTAACACCATTCTCGGATTTGGTGTGAATACAAGATGTGGCATTACCTGAAACATCCCTGTTAATAATGTCCTAGCCAATTACTCATCTACAAGCCAATATAACTTCAGAAATGTGACAATGTCACAACATAAGTGATCTGACCATACTGGCTGTGGGATCCTAGAACTAGTAGTTTAAACAAGTGACTTCTCCAGCTCCAATCTTACAAGAGGAAAACAGCAATACAAATAGGAAAGGTAACAGGACTATGACAGATCATAGGAGGGTGAAGTTAATTTAGACGCATCTGTTGAAAGCACATCCAAAACTGAGTTCTTCAGGGACAGCTGTTAAGAGGAAGGATTTGTTCTTAAGGATATCTAATTGATGTTTTTGTGACTCTGTATGCTTTGATATTATTATTTTGTTGGATATAATACAAAAATAATAACTCAAGAAACTCCATTCTATTGCTTAAAAATTGGCAAACAAATGATCCAAATTATAAAATTGGAATTATCTGAAATATAGTGAATTGTACAGTGGATTGTGACATCCCTGCCAGGAATGGTTCACTAGTATATGTGGTGCACAGTATTATTTTTTTAAAGGTCTCAAAGACTTTGCAATCTCAATTTTGACAGAGGGACAAACAATAGGAAAGGAAGAGACAACAAGGAAGGAGGGCAAGACATGGGTAGCATGGTGACATGAAGAAGTATTTATTTATTTCACTTTTTCATACTGTTCAGGATGGTGAGATACAACAAAGTAAGGCAAAATACAAAACTACACAAATCATAGAACATATCACAAAACTGCAGCAAAGGCACACATCCATCTATGGACCATAATAAGGATAGTCAGCTGCAGAAGGAATGGAAGCCATTTTTCATTCCCAGGAACCACATGAACATACCCACATCTAGAGAAACAACATTATGTCACTTCTGCTTTTGATTTTGGCCAATTGTTTGCTGATTTGGGGGTGGTGGCTGTGGGTTGTGAGAATGTTGGGGTTTTGTAGGAACAAAGCAGCCATTTCTGTGTCAGTTTTGAGACAGCAGAGGAAAAAAAGGTAATTTTTTTTTTTACAAAAATGGAGAGATTGAGCGGTTTTTCGGGGTTACAAGAGGTACTATTTCCTTGTTCTTGGCCTAGAACAAAATAGCTAGAAGTAGATGTTTAAAAAGTCACTGTGAAAAAAATGAACCTGTCTTGGGCGACTACTCCATGATATAGACCAGTGGTTTCCAACCTGTCGTCCATGGACCAACAGTGGTCCGCAAGAACTAAAATATGGTCCATGGCCTCAGTTACTATGCCATTGCAACGAGAGGGACTGGTCTCACGAAGCTCTCCTTTATAGTGCCAAGGCTAATTAAATATGGTTTTCTGTGGGCGAGCAGATGGCGACTACTGGATGGCATATATTCTGTATCAGAAACTAGAGTTGATGTGGTCCATCCAATGCAATGTTCTGAATCAGAACCCCAAATAACCAAACCAAGCTGACCAAAAACTGATTTATAACCCTTTTGCTACCAATGTTGGAGAGTGGTCCCTGGTCAAAGTGGTCCCTGGTTTAAAAAAAAAAACGAAGGTTGGGAACCACTGATATAGATGGTTTAGCCTCTCACCAGAAACCAAGCCAATCAGCCAGCTGATGTCACAAGACAGGGCCTTGCCTCCAGTTGCACTCCCCAAAATCTCTGTCCCTTCTTTGTACAGGGAGACACAAAATTCCACACCTCTTTCAATACAAAGAACACCTCTGTTATTTCTAATTGTAGGCATTCCCACCTGATGAAATGCAACATGGGCATCACCTGTGATTTGAGGCAACAACACATGTCTTCTGTATAACATTTGCCTTCCCAATTGGAAGGCGAGTAGTGAGTATGGCAACAAACACGAAGTCATAACAATGGCTTCAATCAGAATAAAGGGAAAAATAATGTATTTGAGATCCTAAGGTTCATCTCTTCTATCTTACCTTGTACACTGTTTACAAAAAACCTAAAGAGATCAAAGACTAGACTTAAACAATGGCAAATTGCCCCTTCATTTCCCCTACCGAGAAAGGCACAGCTATAGAAGTTAAATAGAACTCAAAAGATGGCATAGATGATATTAAAAAAAGGATTCTGGCTTGGAGCACTCACCATCCATGTAATATAAACTATCCCTTAGGCTTGTTCTGGGGAGTGATTCAGTTATTTGGATCAACACAACCCCAAAACAGTTTGGAATCAACATAACTCAGAGATTAGTTTCTCTATATATAAAACTGGGGGGAAAATTCAGTGGCTGAGGACTTTATTCTTGTAATCCTACCAACAAAAATACACTTTCTGTAGTTGTGATAATCTGAATCCTGGAATAGATTTCGAATTCCAAAAGGTCCATCAAAAGTAACTGTCACATGAAGAAAAGCACATATTCCGTGGTATTACCTCCCACATTCCTCTTAGCCTCACCTTCTGTAGCAAGAGTAACTAAGAAGTTGGTGGATTCTAATTAGACTCAAAAAAGTTGAAGTATCCAGTATGTAGGAGCAGTAATTTCCAGGTACATTACAGTACATTACAACCATTTCAAAGAAGGTGAAGCTATTTCTTGAGGGCCCACTGTAAACAGCTCACTTCCAGTTCAGTATAGTAATTTTCAAACCTTGCGCCAAGGAATTTTCATTTTCCTGGAATTTTAGGTATATTCTGAGTTTGAATATAGAAGTAAACTGTATCTATATCCTTAGGAGCCAGAGACACTTAGCTGACAAAGTTTCTTCATTCTATTTTATCCTCACAACAACCCTGTGAGGTAGGATAGATTGAATGATATTGTCACAAGGTGGCACAGTTAGCCTCATAACTACAGTACGTAAGGATTTAAATTAAACCTTCCATGACATCAGTCAAGTGCTATATGTACTACACCAACTACCGTATATACTTGAGTATAAACAGAGGTTTTCAGCCCTTTTTTGAGGCTGAAAAAGCCCCCCTCAGCTTATACTTGAGTCAAGGTTATTTATTATTTTACTGTTGTTATTATTTTTATTACATTTATTATTTTACTCTATTTATTATTATTATTATTATTATTATTATTACTACTACATTTATTATTTTACTCTCTTTATTACTATTACTACTTTTTCATTATTTTACTATATTATTATGATTTTTATTACATTATTTTACTCTATTATTATTACATTTATTATTTTACTATATATATTATTACTGTTATTATTACATTTCCATTATTTTAGTCTATTATTATTACTATGTTTATTACATTTATTATTTTACTCTCTTTATGGTTATTGGAAGGATACGTAAGCACATTTACATTGAAGGTTAGAATAATGGTTTAATCAGAGTTGGACAGTCTTATCTTAAATTACAGTTTTATGAAATGTTCAAAAACATTTAACCTACTGATGCCTCAATTAATGTTATTGGTATCTATTTTTATTTTGAAATCCACCAGTATCTGCTGCAGTTCCCACCCTTGGCTTATACTCGAGTCAATACATTTTCCTAGTTTTTGTAGTAAAGTTAGGTTGTTGTTGTTCATTCGTTCAGTCGTCTCCGACTCTTCGTGACCTCATGGACCAGCCCACGCCAGAGCTCCCTGTCGGCCGTTACCACCCCCAGCTCCCTCAAGGTCAGTCCAGTCACTTCAAGGATGCCATCCATCCATCTTGCCCTTGGTCGGCCCTCTTCCTTTTGCCTTCCACTTTCCCCAGCATAATTGTCTTCTCTAGGCTTTCCTGTCTCCTCATGATGTGGCCAAAGTACTTCAACTTTGTCTCTAGTATCTTTCCCTCCAGTGAGCAGTCGGGCTTTATTTCCTGGAGGATGGACTGGTTGGATCTTCTCGCAGTCCAAGGCACTCTCAGAACTTTCCTCCAACACCACAGCTCAAAAGCATCGATTTTCCTTCGCTCAGCCTTCCTGAAGGTCCAGCTCTCACATCCATAGGTTACTACAGGGAATACCATGGCTTTGACTAGGCGGATCTTTGTTGCCATTCTGATGTCTCTACTCTTTACTATTTTATCGAGATTGGACATTGCTCTCCTCCCAAGAAGTAAGCGTCTCCTGATTTCCTGGCTGCAGTCTGCATCTTCAGTAATCTTTGCACCTTGAAATACAAAGTCTGTCACTGCCTCCACATTTCCCCCCTCTATTTCCCAGTTATCAATAATTCTTGTTGACATAATATTGGGTTTTTGATGTTTAGCTGCAACCCGGCTTTTGCGCTTTCTTCTTTCACCTTGATTAGAAGGCTCCTCAACTCCTCCTCGCTTTTGGCCATCAAAGTGGTATCATCTGCATATCTGAGATTGTTAATGTTTCTTCCAGCAATTTTCACCCCAGCTTTGCATTCATCAAGCCCCGCACATCGCATGATGTGTTCTGCATACAAGTTAAAAGGTTGGGTGAGAGTATGCAGCCTTGCCGTACGCCTTTCCCAATCTTGAACCAGTCTGTTGTTCCATGGTCAGTTCTTACTGTTGCTACTTGGTCCTTGTACAGATTCCTCAGGAGAGAGACAAGGTGGCTTGGGATACCCATCCCACTAAGAACTTGCCACAATTTATTATGATCCACACAGTCAAAGGCTTTAGAATAGTCAATGTTAGGTACCTCAGCTTATATTTGGGTCAGCTTATACTCGAGTATATACGGTAACTATCTATTAAATTGATTGACCTCTCTAGTCTGTCCTCCTTTTTCTACAATGCATGGCAAACAAACCAACACATAAAGTTCCCTGAGCTCTTCTAATTTAATATTAGGCAATGAGCACAGAACATTCATATATAACTTCTACTATGCCAATAGGCCAATGAGAAACACAACTGTTACCCTATTTAAGGCTAACGTATTAATACACACACACTTTTCACCTCCAAAAACACTAAAGAAACTAGAGTCTGGATGCCGCAAAGTTTAGATGCCATGAGTGAGCTATTTTTACCCCTCTTGCTATGTTTAGAAGAGGGGACTCCAGGTGTCCATGGCAATCTCCGTTTGTTGAGTACATGTCAAATACCAGCACAGTTTGGGTTCACATACTTACCTCACTGCTAATTTTATCAGCGTTCCCTTTGGAAGGGGGCCTGTAACTCTCTGCCAAGCTGCCAAACGCGTCTGGATCGCAGAGCTGGATTGTCTCCAGTGACCTGCCACCCTGGATCTCAAGCTGTCTGGCAGTCTGTAGGTTGTTTTGTAGAGGCAGCCTCTGGAAGTGAACGTTGCCTTCCATGTTTCGACTGGCTGGTGGGCGGTAGATTTCAGCAGATGGGCGGGAAGAGCCGTAAGTCACTGTCACCAGAGGCTTCTTTCGGGGCATACGATTCTCTTGCACAAAATTGAGGTCTTCATCAATGAGATCGTCCGGTTCTGGCTTAATGTCAATCACAGCTTCCAAAGGAGACAGCTCTCTGAGAGGTTTCACAGTTGACATCAAAAGGGATGGGGAGCCATCCAGGCGAGGTGGTCTGCAGGTGAAAAAACATTAACTGTAATTTGAATCAGAATACCTGTGCTTTAAAGAAAATGAGAAATTGAAACAATAATAATAAAACACTTGATTTATTTGTATAACAGCTTCTGTGCGAGGGGGGCAGTTTTACAATGTAATCTACTGTGCAAATTCCACTACTCTTTTCTAAGTGCTGCACAGAAAATGGATTTCTTCCTGCAATACCCACCAGTTTTTAATTTCTTCATTTTGTTAGTTATTCTCAAGTAAGCTTCATAACTTACTCATAACCAAGAAAGAAACCTCACTAAGTTCACTTGCTACCAAATAAGTGTGTATAGGACTTCAACCTCAGAGGTCCGACTAAGATAATAATGCAGAGGCATAATACTGTTAATACTGATGTTAATACTGAGCATAATATTGTTGCTCAGATGATCCATTGGAACTTATGCCACAAATACCATCTGCCTGAGACAAAAAAAAAAATGGTGGAATCACAAACCTGAAAAAGTTACACAAAAGGAACACGTCAAACTACTCTGGGACTTCTGAATTCAGACGGACAGACTTTTGGAGCACAATACTCCTAACCTCACGATCATGGGAAAACCCAAAGTATGGGACTGTTGATGTTGCAATCCCAGGTAACAGCAGAATTGACGACAAGCAACTGGAAAAACTTACATCATATGAGGACAGAACTGCAAAGACTCTGGCACAAGCTAGCAAAGGTGGTCCCAGTGGTGATCGGCACACTGGATGCAGTGCCGAAAGACCTTGGCCTGCACTTGAAACACATTATTTGCCGATACATCGAACAGTGCCTGATGTGTGATCAAATACAAAAGCCAGCATAGTGATCTTGTTTGCTGTGTACTAATCCTGTTGTGTATCAAATAACAATAATAACTTTATTTATATCCTGCCAAAAGGAACTCGGGGCGGCTTACAAAACAGCACAACAAAAGTGCAACAGATAACACATAGAATACAATAAATTTTACCAAAAAAAATCAATGAACAGCACCAATTAACATAAAAATAACACCTAACAAAATTGACAGAGCCACAAGGAGAGATGGGTAACAAAAAATGACAACAACGACAATTTAACTTTCTCTCAGTACTCCATACAGTAACGCTTTATAGAAAGCCTAACTTAATTCTTATATTATAGTTCTCATATGTTTCAAAGAAGGAGGTTCATTTCAGGTGTATCACCACCTCACTATGTAATACTAAATTCCAGCATTTCCTGCTCTTCTTTTGCTCTGATAATCCCCCCCTTACTTCCAATCTAGTACGTTTTTGCTCACATGACAAGACTGGAATTCAGACATGGCCATACTCCGCTGGATTTCAAAGACTGCTTTATTGCTTCATTAGAATCTCTTAAGGGAAGGTGGCAAATCACAAGCACGTAGCCAGTTTATATAATACCAAATCATGAGAGAACATTATGGACAAGATCCAATGATGTCTACCTTCTGATAGCATTTCAAGAAGCCCAGAAGAGATGGAGATGAAAAGGAGAGAGGAGTACATCATCTGTAAGGCACATAGGTGCCACTTGAGGAAAGGAGTGGCCTTCGACTAAAGCTGTACGCAGACATGCAACTCTGGGTCTTGCCCTATCTCTGAATAGACCCTAAGAAACAGTGACTGTTCTTATGCCTACCAAAAAGTTCATAAATGAAATACGAAAAAGGCTCGCCTGATATAAAACTCAAATACTGTGTGTTTCCAGCCCTTGAGGAATTAAATCAGAACCTTACCGGGCAATATGAGCACTCTGTTCTAGGGAACTGGTTGAAACTCGGGAGTCGGTCCTTTCTGGTCGAGAACTTGTGACTGCAAGCGGTTGCAGGATCTCTTCCGCTCTCCTCTCCTCACTCCCTGCTAATATGCTTTTCCCAGGAGGCAGACTGCTCTCAAAGGCGCTAGATTCAGAGGATTTCAGGCTGGGAGGTTCTACAAAGACAAAAATACCTGATCTTAGCTCAAAGTTAAACAGCATATTTATCCAGAACTGCAAAATAACTTCCATTGCGAATTTCGACACTATGACAGGGATCTCTCTTCAGTCAATGTGAATTACTTGTATGTATATGATGCCATAGTCATAAGAATGAAAAAGCCACAAGTACAGCTGTGAATGGAAAGCAGAAAAAAGGTTTCTGTCATCAGAGAAAATGGCAGCATATTTATTTAATATCTAGCATTTGGGAAGGTTCTCATTCTTTCCATGCAACCTTCCCAAAGTGCCTTGAACTTTAAAAAAGAACTCATTTGGAGGTCAGACATTAAAGAAGTAGGCTGCATGGGAGCTGATAGCTTTCTTTCTTGACAACAATGAAGACCACTTTCATTCTGTTCTTTCTGGTGCTACTGTTGTGATGTGGATAACAGACCAAACTGCACCAACAAGATTCTGGCCTCTGACTCATACTGCAGAAAGACTGTTTTCAATGTTTTCCTTCTTCAGTCAAGACTCCCCCCCCCCCCCACACACACACACCTTTTTATTTTTCTTTTACATATGTCTCATTACAATTATATTTACCATATAGACACAATACAATTTAACAATAATTTCCCTCCCTCTCTCCCACTCCAAAATCTTAATTAATAAGCCTAAATATAAATCATTGTTAGTCATCACAGGTTTCAATAATCTTTAAAGTACTGAAAGGTGTGTTACTGAAGGCATACAAAAATAATTGCTCATAACAGAAAACAACTTTCCAGAAAAAAGCTTGATCAGACAGTAGTTTAAATTCAGAGGTCACTCCACTAACCTAAACAATAACAGGCTTCCAAATGTATTCAAATTTATCACCCTGGGTTTTTTTTTCTCTTTCAGTAATCGCTTTTGTACCAAAACACCATTGTTAACATTTTCAATTATTTCCAAATTTGCACTACTTAAGAAAAGTATATGTAATGAATATACGTAAAGACCTATAGATTTTTTTATCAAGCACTTTTCAGTAAAACAACTGATTACTGTTGTTTTACCTGCAGCTATCACTGTATTTTATTGATTTTAACTAGGGGGCATTGTGAAGTTGTGATGTTTATGTTGATTGTTTATTGTTTTATGTTATTGTTTTTACACTTTCTGTATTTTGTGTGGTTGCACCTTTGATTGCTTTGTGAGCCGCCCTAAGGCCCCCTGGGAGATGGTGGCACGGTACAAATAAAGTTTATTATTTTATTAAGTTTATTAAAAGAGCTATATATTATTTGGGTAGCTGTAAGTTTTCCGGGCTGTATGACCATGTTCCAGAAGCATTTTCTCCCGTGGGTGAAATGTCAGGAGAGAATGCTTCTGGAACATGGCCATATAGTCCGGAAAACTCACAGCAACCCAGTGATTCTGGCCATGAAAACCTTTGACAACACATATAAATTCTTTGTTTGGCAATCTTTGATTTTCCATTTCAAATATGGACATTAACAATAATGTTCCTCTAATAATATATAGGATGACCAAAACACTTGGCTAATCTAATTTTCTCCCAAGAATTATTTTTATAGATCAGCTACATGTTTCCAATCTCCTATTTTTCCAGCATATATTTGACAAACTATTAACAATTTTGTGACATCTGAGTGCACATTAATACTTGTACATTTTCTTTAGCTTGCTCATATGCCAATTTATAGGGTAGTATCGTCCAAATGATGTTCCATTCTGTTCCAAATTTGACTTTATATGTCTCATTCCTTTGAATTTTCTAAACTTAATCTCTTGTAATTTTTGGTACGTTATGAAAATTACCATATTGGTTTACTTATACTATGGCCACAATCTGTGGCCATAGTATAAGTAAAATCATTTTGGAGACTTGTTCTACTTAATTTAGCAAGTAAAGTATTTACTTTCAGGATAAGTCTATTGGTTTGAGTTTAACATTTTTGAAATGTCAGAAATGTAGAAACACACATTGCATGCACATACACATAATACAGTAATACTTCTAGATGAGTTTACATCAAAATTGGATAGCCTTTCTTCTCCTCACCTGTAGTTACTGATCGAAGCTTGTCTAGCACACCATGGAGCCTGAAAGATAAGAAAGTGTTTTAACACTTAGAATCAAAAAATCATATAGTTGGAAGAGACCACATGGGCCATCTAGTCCAACCCCCCTATCATGTAGGAAAAGCACCATCAAAGTACCCTTGACAGATGGCCATCCAATCTTTGTTTAAAAGCCTCCCTAGAAGGAACTCCCACCACATTTCGAGGCAAAGTTCGACTGCTGAACAGCTCTTAACATCTTTGTTTTAAATAGAGCTTTCAGAAACATCCTCTGTTTTTAGTAACTTCTGCCATCAAGGGAAAGGTGAATGAGCATGTTATATGCTTACTCATGGAATAAAGATCATGACTTGCATTAAGCCAAAGTGTCTCATTAAATTTGAACAGGGGCATACTTGTCAGTTTACAAAAAAGGATCACATTTTATCCTACTTCCCTGGTTTGTAAACTGCCATTAACTCAGTTTCCCAGTTCAGCTCCAAGAAAAAACTCTGGTTTAATACCGGACGAATTCATCACAATATCCCAACAGGGGGCAAAAGAAACAGTCAGACAAACTTTAATGTTACTGACTTTTCCTCCCAGAAATGTCAAGCTGCTTGTCATTTCTCATTTGGGAAGCTATTTAAAAGCCAGACATAGGATGACTCAGTAAATGGAACTATGTGTTTATGTACCTTTGTGTCACCTGTTGACCTATGATAATGCCATGAATTTCATAGGGTTTTCTTAAGCAAGGAATACCTGTACAATCGTTTGTGATTACCTTCTAATGAAACAGAACCTACAACACACTGCATTAATTGTACACTGTCAAACTGCACTGTCAAACTGCATTAATTCTACACTGTAGAAAATGGGATTCCACCTGAATATTAAATAGAATGGGTTGTTGTAGATTTTTCGGGCTATATGGCCATGTTCTAGAAGCATTCTCTCCTGACATTTCGCCTGCATCTATGGCAGGAATCCTCAGAGATTGCAGGTAAAACATCAGGAAAGAATGCTTCTAGAACATGGCCATATAGCCCAAAAAACCTACAACAACCCAGTGATTCCAGCCATGAAAGCCTTCAACAATACATTAAATAGAATGCCCTAATGGTAAGAGCTGTTCAACCGTGTAATAATAATGTAGTGTGTTGAGAGTCTCCTTCTTTGGAGATTTTTAAACAGAGGCTGTGTGACTATTTGTTACAAGTGCTTTGAATATGGATTGGATGGCCTTTGTGGTCTCTTCCAACTATGTTTTAAAAAACTGAACATATTGGTTTGGACCATTTGCACTGGTGGACTTACTAGGACGGCTACATTTTGCTAAACATCACTGGAAGCTATTCACGTGCCCCATCACAAGCACTTAGATGGAAGACAGACTTACCAAACTGTAAATCTCACAGTGTTGTTTCCTAGAAAGAGGGAAAGATCCTCTGCCATCTGTTCCTGGCTCTTCTTGTTGGCCACCATCACCATGATATAATCAGGGAGCTCCTCATCTGAATTGAAAAAGGGGGGAAACATTAGGTTATTATGTTTGGAAGGAGACCGTGAAGTTACGTATTATGTATTCACCTTTTGTCCCAATTACAGCATAGCCACTTATTTTAATAGACCATTGTTGTAGTTTGTTGTGTTAATATGAGTGATTGTGTTTTGTTTTCAGTTTCTTAATTACACTGTTGTTTCTTACTATTTTATTAACTTCTCTAAAAACAAAGATGGCAAGGCATAAAATTATTACTAATATAAAAATTTGCATAGAATGATGCTGAAGGACATTCTCTATTCTTATGGGGTCAACAATTTAACAACTAAAGTTACAATGAAACTTACCAACATATGCTCCCAGTTCCTGTAGCTTTCCTTTTATAGCACTCTAAATGAAGAAAAGGGATAGAAAAACACATTTAAGAAGGCACTATGTTTGAGGCATAATCTCAACCAGTGCATACATGCCTAGGAAATATGAAATAGAGCATTGATAAAAGTGATTTAATCAATCAAAATGGTCTGTAACTATATATACACTTTGTAACTGTTACCATGCCTTCAAAGCTTTTCTAATTTATAGCAACCCTAAAGTAAACCTAATATGAGGTTTTCTTGGCAAGACTTGTTCAGAAAGCACTTACCATAAAGTAACATATATAGAAAGGCCTTCCTATATATGATTACTTTAGGATAAGTAACACAGTGGTGGCACAGAGGGTTAAGCTGCTAAGCTGCAGAACCTGCTGACCGGAAGGTCTGCTGTTCAAGTCCCCAGGATGGGGTGAGCTCCCATTTTTAGTTCCAGCTTCTGTCAACCTAGCAGTTCAAAAACATGCAAATGTGAGTAGATCAATAGGTACCACTTTGGCGGGAAGGTAACAGTGTTCCATGTAGTCATGCCGGCCACATGACCTAAGAGGTGTCTATGGCCAATGTTGGTTCTTCGGCTTAGAAATGGGCACCATCCCCCAGAGTCAGATCGACTAGACTTAATGTCAAAGAGAAACCTTTACTATCATAGACTAAAACAGGACTTTTTCCTAAACACACTTGAAATTACTATTAGGTACTATTAGGCTTCTTTTTCTTGGTCATTTAACATCAGTCCAGGTTTATAATTGGCAAACACTACTTTGTGAAGATACAGTAGTGATACTCAGAAAACTGCTTATGTTGAGGTTTACAGAATTAGTTTTCTTTGTAATGCTTCTTTATGCTAGGAGAGATTATGTACCTTTATGAATTGCACATAAATAATATTCCTAGAAATTGGGAAAATTACATGCATTCTCTCCTGGTACTCCAACACTGTGACCACAAGTGAAGAAAACCCTTCCTTTGACTGGCTAGGTCCTGATTCTACAGATTTTATGCAACTGCATCGGTATTCATTCAGCTCTTTCCAAAATCAACACTCTGAGAATAGGGAAATCTAGTCTACAAAGTTCAAAAGGTGAAAGGGTACCTGTTCTGTTGGTTAATTTTTGTATATATATTTGCCTTTCATGCAGAATTTTGATGAGTGCATGCTTTAGAAACTTGGTTCATGATAAATAAAAAGAACACAATAGATGGCATATATATGAGGCTATACAAATATGTGGGTAAATGTCACTCTGTTTTGCCTTCTGTTTGGAAAAAAATTCAGTCCGAGCAAAACACAGGCTTCTGGAAATCAAAGAATAACATAAATGTTTCTACTTCTAAAAGTGTAAGCTATGTTTAAAGAAAGAGTAAGCTATGTTTAAAGAAAAAATGGGACAAGTAAAAAAAGTTTTTTTTACTTGTCCTATTATTTGGAATCCTAGGATTGTTTATTTTAGATAATAAGTAGCTGCTACTATAACAATTTACCATGAATGATTTGCTTTTCCGTACTATAGCTAAGTGTTAAAATTAAATAATGTAATCAATTCCCATGATCTTGTTGTGTTTGCAATACTGCAGCAATCCCTAACAAATCCTTTACACTGAGAGTATGCAGAAAGCCACAAATGAAATTCTCAGCATATTCAGGATGGTTCAGGATGTCCTCTTATCTACAAAACTGGACAACCACCACTTATAAGAGACATAATACAGAACGAGATAGACCAGTAATTTGGCAGACATCTTTCATCAATGTTCCTAGCTGAAGATCATTCTTTTCAACTGGGTGACCTAATTCTGAATAAACTCACAATTACACTGCATGCCATTCATTACAAACACTGCAATTTGTGGATTCTTATGACTGCCAGGTTACAAGCGACACACCTGAGAAGATGCACGAGGGCTTCCTCTAACATGTTTTTTTTCCTATGTCAATTTCTTGGGGGAGTAAGCAATAACTTTGTTCTGAAATTTAGCAGTTAGCTATATGGGCCTAAAGGGGCTACAAGTAATCGGGATACAACATTTTGAATCATGCAACAATAATAATAATAATAATGGATAGACTTTTATCCCCTCTGGATTTCTATGAGCTATTTAGGTCTTGAACTATTGGTATTGTCTTACTTATCCTATCTACCTAAAACCTATACAGGTTGAACATCCCTTATCCAGAATTCAAAAATGCTCCAAAATCCAGAATTATCCACAGGGATTTGAAAAATATTCAAAAAGTGTCCATGGGAAGGGCTGGATGACATTTATGTGGTTTAATTTTTCATATATAATATAAACTTATTTCCTACATGTACTGTTTCTAATGGAACAGTACCCCTTTCTATGGTATTAGGTGCCATTTGCAAGATTTAATTCTTCATATGTAACATAAAATTGTTTCCTATACATACCATATATAATCCTATGGTGTTGGATGCCATTTACGTGGTTTAATTTTTCATATATAATGTAAACTTATTTCCTACATATACTGTTTCTAATGAAACAGTACCTCTTTCTATGGTATTAGGTGCCATTTACAAGATTTAAATCTTCATATATAATGTAAAATTATTTCCTATATATATTGTATCAATCCTATGGTATTGGATACCATTTGTGTGGTTTAATTTTTCATATATGTGAATTTATTTCTTTTATACACTGTATACCTTTCTATGGCATTTAATGCCATTTATGAGGTTATACCTTTTTATATATAATGTAAACTTATTTTTTATATATACTGTATCAATGCTATGGTCTTGGATGCCATTTATGTGGTTTAATTTTTCATATATAATATAAATTTATTTCCTTTATACACTGTATACCTTTGTATAGTATTTGATGCCATTTATGAAGATATACCTTTTCATATATAATGTAAATTTATTTCCTTTATACACTGTATACCTTTCTATAATATTTGATAACATTTGAGGTTATAACTTTTCATATATAATGTAAATGTATTTCCTATATATACTGTATACCTTTCTATGGTATTGGATGCCATTTATGTGGTTTAATTTTTCATATATAACGTAAATGTATTTCCTTTATACACTGTGTACCTTTCTATAGTATTTGATGCCATTTATGAGATTATACCTGAATATTGGAACCTTTTTGTGACCTTTTGGCCCTTGCGATAATAAGGAGACACAGTAAGAGTTGTTGTTGTTTTAACCCAATAAGGGGAACCACATCCAATTATCCATCCCTTTGAATAGCAGCCAAAGGAAGGGCCTGAACTTCAGGGTGGCTTGGCGAGGAGGCCCTTCTCTCCTTCCCCTGGGCCTCTTTCCCTCCCACAAACCCCGCTCAGCCTCCGCTGCTCTCCTCACCCGGATCTTGCGGCTGATCTCGGTGCCGATCTCCATGGCCAGACGCCGCCCGTCTCCCGCTTCGACCGCGACAACAACTAGGCCCCTCGCCCGACCCCAGTCCTGACCAGGCTCAGAGAGAGAGAGAGAGAGAGAGAGAGGAAGAAAGAGAGGCCGGCTTTGAAGGTGGCCTCCGCGGGCAGCGCCCCCTGCCGGCCGAGGGCGGCACTGACAAAGGTCTTACTACACAATGCCTCCTAGTTAAGAAGTCATAGAATCATAGAATCAAAGAGTTGGAAGAGACCTCATGGGCCATCCAGTCCAACCCCCTGCCAAGAAGCAAGAATATTGCATTCAAAGCACCCCTGACAGATGGCCATCCAGCCTCTGTTTAAAAGCTTCCAAAGAAGGAGCCTCCACCACACTCCGGGGCAGAGAGTTCCACTGCTGAACGGCTCTCACAGTCAGGAAGTTCTTCCTCGTGTTCATATGGAATCTCCTTTCTTGTAGTTTGAAGCCATTGTTTCGCGTCCTAGTCTCCAAGGAAGCAGAAAACAAGCTTGCTCCCTCCTCCTTGTGGCTTCCTCTCACATATTTATACATGGCTATCATATCTCTCACCCAACCTATTCAACTTGTATGCAGAACACATCATGCGATGTGTGGGGCTTGAGGAATGCAAGGCTGGGGTGAAATTGCTGGAAGAAACATCAACAACCTTAGATATGCAGATGACACCACTTTGATGGCCGAAAGCGAGGAGGAGCTGAGGAGCCTTCTTACCAAGGTGAAAGAAGAAAGCGCAAAATTTGCTTGAAGTCCCCCAACATCCAGACTTATCATCTGTCCTCTACTAGGCAGAGAGCCTTCTCGATTGTGGCCCCTTATTTATGGAATGCCTTGCCAGTTCATCATCATCATCACCATCATCATTTAATTACTTATTAATCACCCTCCATCCAAGATGCTCTAGGCGATTTACAAGCTAAAATGGTAAAGGATAAAAATACATACATACAGATATTGATAAAATTAACAAAGATCAAAAGCTCTAGTAAAAAGCCAGGTCTTAAGTGCTAGGGTAAAAGGCCCTAACTCACGAATGGCTAAAACCCGATCTATCCAAGACCTACTTGCTTTTCGGAAAGCCTGTAAAATCTTTCTCTTCCGACAAGCTTTCGATGGGTGAATAACTCGGGACTATGTCGGTTCTCGTTTTTATTGTATTTTAAAGTTAATTGTATTGTTTTAACCTACTGCTGTAAACTACTCCGAGCCAAATTGGGAGTAGCGGTATACAAGTCAAATAAATAAATAAATAAATAAAAGCTGGGTTGCAGTTAAACATTTAAAAAAGCAAGATTATGGCAACAAGAATGATTGACAACTGGCAAATAAAGGGAGAAAACGTGGAGGCAGTGACAGACTTTATATTTCTAGGTGCAAAGATTACTCCAGACGTAGACTGCAGCCAGGAAATCACGAGACGCTTACTTCTTGACCAATCTTGATAAAATAGTGAAGAGTAAAGACCTCACACTGGCAACAAAGATCCGCACAGTCAAAGCAATGGTATTCCCCATAGTAACCTACAGATGTGAGAGCTGGACCTTAGGGAAGGCTGAGCGAAGGAAGATAGATGCTTTTGAACTGTGGTGTTGGAGGAAAGTTCTGAGAGTGCCTTGGACTGTGAGAAGATCCAACCAGCCCATCCTCCAGGAAATAAAGCCCGACTGCTCATTGGAGAGACAGATAGTAGAGGCCAAGATGAAGTACTTTGGCCACATCCTGAGGAGACAGGAAAACTTAAGAGAAGACAATGATGCTGGGGAAAATGGAAGGAAAAAGGAAGATGGGCCGACCAAGGGCAAGATGGATGGATGGTATCCTTGAAGTGACTGGATTGACCTTGAAGGAGCTGGGGGTGGTGACAGCCGATAGGGAGCTCTGGCGTGGACTGGTCCATGAAGTCACGAAGAGTCAGAAACGACTGAACGAATGAACAACAGTTAAGAGTGGTTCTCAACTTGTGGGTCCCCAGTTGTTTTGGCCTTCAACTCCCAGAAATCCTAACAGCTGGTAAACTGCCTGGGACTTCTGGGAGTTGTAGGCCAAAACCTACAGGTTAAGCACTACTGAGTCTTCCACACAGCCCTATATCCCAGAATATCCAGGCAGAAAATCCCACAATATCTATTTTGAACGGCATGCACAGGGGTTTGGATATGCAGTGATCGACCGAAGAACTGTAGACTCAGATAACCCAGTTCAACTGGGCAAATATCTCAAGACTGGGCTGTGGTGCAGCTAGTTAGTAGGCAGCTGTATTAAATTACTACTGACTGAAAGGTCATGAGTTCGAAGCCAGCCCGGGTCAGAGTCAACTCCCGACCATTAATAGTCTAGCTTGCTGTTGACCTATTCAGCCTGAAAGACAGTTTCATCTGTCAAGTAGGAAATTTAAAAACCGTTTTATGTAGGGAGGCTAATTTAATTAAGTTACAACACCATAAAATCTTCAAGCAGCGTGCATAAGAATGAGGAAGTACTCCATCAAGGACTCAGTGTCACAAGTGGGCAGTGAAGCAGCAGCTCCCCCTGTGGCCGGAATCAAGCATACCCTCATGAAGCCAGAAAGCTGAAATGTTAAATTGCCTCTGTGTCTATCTATATATGTTGTATGTCTAATGGCACTGAATGTTTGCCATGTATATGTGCATTGTAATCCTCCCTGAGTCCCCTGTAGGGTGAGAAGGGCAGAATATAAATACAATACATAAATAAATAAATAAATAAATAAATAAATGTCATTAAAGAATACAAATCACAAAGTTTATTCCTGAGGATTTGTCTTCTTGAACTGTGTGTGATGCGGTTAGGAAAAACATAGCATTTTTTGGCTTTTATCTTATAAAGTAAAGTAATGTTTATCCTTACATTATGTCTAATCATGTCCGAGTCTGGGGGTTAGTGCCCATCTCCATTTCTAAGCTGAAGAACCGGTGTTGTCCTTAGACACCTCCAAGGTCATGTGGCCAACATGACTACATGGAGCGCTGTTTACCTTCCTGCCAAGGCAGTACCTATTGATCTACTCACATTTGCATGTTTTCAAACTGCTAGGTTGGCAGAAGCTGGGCCTAACATCAGAAGCTCACCCTGTCCTGTGGATTTGAACCGCCGATCTTCCGATCAGCAAGTTCAACAGCTCAATGGTTTAACCCGGTGTGCCACCAGGGCCCCCCTATATCTATCTATTTACCTATCTATCTACACTTAAAACGTACATTACAAGAAACAATAGACAATAGATAGCTTGTAATTTAAGTACTAAGTATGATACCAAATGTATCCATAAAGTATTTAAGTATTACATATGATATTGAACTGTATCAATAAAACAAATGACTGTCTGAGCATGCACAATGTTTTTCAATATCTGAAAAAACATTGTGCATAATAATAGAATTATTAACTCACAAAGTACTATGTGTGCACTTACACACAGATTAATTTGTTCAAATAATACTATTTAATACTTTTATTTTGCATTTTTGTATTTTTTTTATTACAGAGGCTGTGACAGAGGGCAACTGGATTTCTTTACACTATTATAAGCTACACTATTATAATCTCAATTATTCTTGCTTCAGGTCACAGACATTTAAAAACTTGCCCATTAGCGCTTCTATGCTATCTGTAAGCTAGTTTTAAAGAAATGATTAAAATATTCCTAGTGGGTATAAAAATAAGGCTGAAATATTTAGAAAGAGCCTTAACTTTAATCAGAAAGGCTTAAGATAAATTATCATATAATGAGAAAGAACTGATCAGCTGCTATTTTTTGTATTTCTGCAGTATGTACTTGGCCAAAGCAGCAGCTGTCCCATTGCTGACATTCTCTCTGTTATGCGTTCCAGCTTCCTAAGGTAATGGCTATTTATTTACTTTGCTTATATACCGCTGTTCTCAGCCCGGGGGCGACTCACAGCGGTGTACAACACAGAAGAACAAGGTTCAAAATTCAAGACACAATCTAAAATATCAAACATACAGATTTCTCTCCTCCCCAGTATAAGGCAGTATCTCCAAGCTCCTTTTGCATTTTCATGGGTCCTTTTTGTAAAACATTTCTGGTTACTCCGTTTCATTGTATTTTCTGTATTTCTCATTTCCTCATCGTGACTCAACCTTCCATTTTTCTTTTAGAATAATACTTCATAATTTTGCAAAGTGTACAGCAGTTTTCACAAGGCTACATCCAGAATTGTAAAGGCAGAAATGCAATTGTTTTATTTTACTGCATTTCCACCCTGTTGTACTACACTGAATTGGTTTCAAGTAGGATTTCCTATCTCTTCTCAATGTACAAAAATAAAAATAAAAAACAACCTTCAAAGATTAAGGAAACCAATACATTTTGAAAATATAAACCACGAACCTCTGGATCCAACTCACTTCATTTCCAAAACCATCCTACGAAGTGGATCCCCATCATTCAGTTTAAATAGTAGTGGTGCTTTTTTTCATGTCAGGATCAACTTGAGAAACTGCAAGTTGCTTCTGGGTGAGAGAGAATTGGCTATCTGCAAGGACATTTCCCAGACGGTACCCAGATGTTTTTATGTTTTTACCATCCTTGTGGGAGGCTTCTCTCATGTCCCCACACGGGGAGCTGGAGCTGACAGAGGGAGCTCATCCACGCTGTCCCCGGATTCGAATCTGTGACCTGTCAGTCTTCAGTCCTGCTGACACAAGGTTAACCCATGGTGCCACCGGGGGCTCCAATAATAGTGCTGAGACTAAGGAACGGGGTATATATTTTTTCCTGTCAGGAATAACTTGGGAAACTGCAAGTCGCTTCTGCTGTGAGAGATTTAATGTTACATGAAGATAAGTTTAGTATTACTCTAGGTAGCCCATTTGGAGTAGAAAACCAAAGGGTTATTGGGATCAAGTTAGGCAGGGATCTTCAAACTTTTTAAACAGAGGGCCAGGTCACCGTCTCTCAAACTGTTGGAGGGCCGGATTTTAATTTGAAAAAGTCATGAATCCCTATGCACACTGCACATATCTTATTTATAGTGCAATAAACCCCCACTTTAAAACAATAAAATAATTAAAATGAAGAACAATTTTAACAAATATAAACT